CAGCAGTTCAAACTCACCAAACGCCCTGAAGGAAAAACATGAGGCTATCTGGCTCCATGGAGAGTTCCAGACTGGGAAACCTACAGGAGCCATTCAATTCTGTCCTAGAGGGTCACTCCGAGGCGGCATCGACTTGGTGGCAACAAGTTTTGGTTTGCACACCCACTTCTCACAGAACACCTGGAGGCAGGTGGGATAGACCCATTTTACAGAAGAGAAAACAGAACTGAGAGTGGAGGTTGGGGGGCGTGTGTGTGAGTGAGTGTGTGTGTGTGTGTGTGTGTGTGTGTGACTAAGATTAGAGCCCAGGCTTCCTGACCCCTTTCTCCTGGGCTCTTGAAGCGTTCAGCTCCTCACCTTTCCAGTGCGATCCTCTTCCACCCCTCCCCCACTCCAGTAGCCTTGGCTGCCTCCCACCCTACCCCCACTCAGTCCCCTAAAAGAGGGGCTCTGAGGGAGCAAGCCCCCTCTGGCTTCTGGCTGACTCTGTCACAGACCCCAGAGCTGCCACCTCCATAGGAAACAGGCAGGCAGCAGACCCCCAGGGTGGACCCCGACAGGGCAGAGAGGCGGTGGGGCTCTCTGCACTGGCCTCCTCAGAGGAAGTCCCACACCTGTCCAAGACCCAGAGAGCTACAGCCTTCAAAGTGCTGCTTGGGCAATTCTTTAGAGATGTCAGAGCATGTATCCCTGTCGAGGGGAAAAACAGGCTCCGTCCCCAACAGTGGGGCCTGTGATGAAGCCCTGCGTGCCCCTAAGTGTCGGGGAAAGGCCCTAGGGGTGACTGGGTGTCGGGATTACAGACTGCTTTAATATTCTCTTGGGTGGCTGTCTTTCCCAAGCCTCATACAACGACAATGTGACGTTCTCAAAACCAAAAGAATCCCGTGACTTCTCTCCATGCTGCGAGGTCTGGGGAGGGAGACTTGGGCTGGTGGTGGAGAGGAAGCTCAACATGGAGTGGGCTCTCTGTGCCGCAGGCCCGAGACAGGCAGGCCGCCGCGAAGGGATCCCCCCAACTCAGTCCTGCACCCGGTTAGCCCCAGGTTTGACTCCCTAGGCCCAGACCTCTTCGCAGGCCTCCAAGGACCCAGCAGGAGGCTGAGGGAGCCAGGCACTGCCCGCCAGCTCCAGCTGGTACAGCAGCCTCTGCAGTGGGCAGGAGGCCAGGGTGGGGGCGGCAGGAGGCGGAGGCCAGGCTGACTACGAGGAAGCGGTGTCACAGATGGACGGGCTGGTGGCTTTTGGTGACTGGAGGAACCCCTGAGAGTTGAAGGGGCTTCTTCGGAGATGGGAGGTGGGGGGCGGGGGGAGAGCAGGAGTCCACAGCCACTGAGGCCATTCGCCCAGGTCCAGTGGTCAGCCTGGTTCACCTGGACCTGGTGCACCTGCTCCTGCCCCCAAGGACTCAGCTCTCAGGATGCAGGGCTAACAAAGCGGGCCTCGGGGTAGAGGAGAGATGGAGTTGGCTCCCTCTGTGGTCATGGCCCCTAAGAGGGTCGAGAGGCAGTATCCCAGGCCTGTGGGCAGCCAGGCAGGCACTAAACCACAGTCAGGACCAAGGCTGGGGTCTGTGACACTTGACAGGGACCCACAGAACCTCCCCTGGCCCTCGGGGTGTCCAACCTCTCTCATTGATCTCTGCTCCTTCACTCCCTCCTTGACCCCCTTCCTCAGCCCCTCCCATGTCACAAAACTCCTCTGCCAATCACTGAACACCCCTCTCCTTCCCCAGTCCCTTTCTTCTCTCTAGAGACCCCTCCCCTTGGTGGATCCTACCTCACTGTGCCTGGCTCTCTTCCTTCCTTCAGTTGCCCCCTCCCCTTGCCTCTCCCCAGCTCTCACCTTCACTGAGCCCACTCTCAGCCCTGAAAAGGAGCCCTTCCCCCAAATCTCACCTGGCAGCCCTTTCATGCAAGGAGGACCAGTGGCCAAACCTCAGCCTAACCCTGACCCGAGCCCTGCTTTACAGCACCAGCTGCGAAATCGCTCCCCCCCCGCAACACCTCACAAGGCAGCCTCTGCCACCTCCTCCCCGCTGTGTCCCAGGATGCCAGACCTGGCCCTTCCTGGCCCGGGGGGAGTGACTCTGGGTGGCAATGGAGGCATCTCAGGGTCCCTGCCAGCCACGCCACACCTGGTAGTCTAACCCTGGCTCCACTGCAATTCCTGGGACCTCCAACTGAGCAAACAGCTCTCTGTAAGCTGTAGCTCCTCCCTTTTTGTTAGTCCCCCCCCCCTTTGCACCCCTGTAAAAGGTAGGAGAGGTGGATTTCAAAGCAGCTCCACCTACTAAGTCAGACCTTGAAATCTTGGAGGTGAGTTCTGCCTCCGCCGATAGACCCACAGAGCTTCCTGACAGGCTCATTTATGAAGCAGAGCAAGCGCCACACCTTGGTGGTGGCAGGGCCCTCAGGGTCATGAGTCAGACCCCGTTTTGTGGTTGGGGGACCTGCTCAAGGTCAGACAGTGAACCAGGGTCCAAGCCGGGTCCAGAAAGATGGCCTTTGGACTCCAGTCCCAGGACCCTCACTTGCCTTGGTCAGTGTCCCCACCCCAGCTCACAATGTCCTACCTGACCCCTGACCCAGGACAGCCTGGGGAGCTGACTGCCAGGGGGATGCTGTGGAACTCGCATTGGCCCTGAGGCAGTGGGCTTGGGGCGCACCCAGGTCTTTCCCTGAGACCTTGGGAAAGTCAAGTTACACTTGTCTGCTCTGTGAAGCGGAGCCTTGGGCACCAAGCCTTGTGGGGAAGCGGTGAAGCCATGGGCGGGCCATGGGCGGGAAATGACGGGCCGTGATGGCAGGGGCTCCCAGTGTATACGGGAGTTAAGGAAGAGGGGCTGGGAGCCCCCATCACCTCCCTGAGCACCCTGTAGGCTGCTGGGACAGGAGGCCAATGGCATTGCTCTCCGGGCCAGCCAGTACAGGAGAAAGCTCAATAGGGGAGGGAGGCTGATCCCAGCGGTGCCTCTGGCAGCTGTGACCCCAGCCCCATTGCAGGGGCTGAGGGTTAACCATTTGGGAAAAGAGCAGATAATCATCAGCTTGTCCAGGTTGGCAAGAGCCGGGCAGGTAGAGAGGTGAGGAGCGGGTGGGGCAGGGAGCCTGTCAGAGCTCTTTTGGCATGACAGTGGTGGGGGTGAGCCGGGTGGGCGTCCCCCGCTGGTCAGCTCAGAGCACAGCCCACCTTCCAATACCCCAGTGACCTTGGGGGTGTCACCTCCTCACTCTCCACTCAGATGCCTCAGGCTCCCCACCTGTAATATTGGCATCAGGAATCAAGCAGCTGACATTTCAGTGGACCTTGATCTCAAAGGCTTAGGACAGCTCATCACTTGCTCCCGGCAGGACAGCCTGGGTGGATTCACGACCTTGGAAAAGTCACTCAGCTTTGTTTCTTGACTGGGAAGTGGGGTGTGGGGGGGCAAGGGTGCCTTCCTGGAAAAGCTTTTGTGGGGATGAACCGAGTCAGCTCGGCATTCAGCTTTGGATGGAGCTTAGCATGAGACCCTCTGCCAAGGTCCGCCTCCTCCTTGGGGAAGAGAAAAAGGGGGGGGGGGCTTCATCAGTGTGGACATGAGAACGTTCCCACCTTTCCCTCACTCTCCCGGAAGAAAGTCTTGCTTGTGCTCGATTGACGAACACTCACTCAACACCTGCCAGCTCCAAAGCACTTTCTCCTCCATTGGTTTGGGTGATGCCACCCAACTTACATCTGCTCTACAGATCAAAGAACATACTCAAAATGGTGTAGTGGTTTAGCCAAGGTCAAACAGCTAGCGTCCAACCCATGCCTCTCTGGCACCGGAGTCCACGTCCCCCTACCCACCCGCCTCCACCTCCGACAAGCCAATCAACTTTCTGTGCTCTCCAAGAACACCTGCTCTATCCCCGGTCCCAGGAGAGTGGGATGGGGCATACAGCAACCAAAAAATTGGGTGTTGTGTGGGAACAGCTTCCTAGTCAGCTCCATCCTATTTCTGGCTGGGGAGGGATTAGGCACATGTTGGGACCGTGACCTTAAGATACCTCCTGAACTCTTTAGCTACTCCTCTCCTTCAAAGTACCCATCTGTCCCTAAATAGAGGGCAAAAGGCCATCCCAGCACCAGAAATGGGTGAGTGAAGGGAAGCAGCTGGCAGCTATGGCCCGGAGAACACACAGATGCTGGTGTCCCAGGTCACACCTGGCTGTTTTTCGTGGGCACCTCCCCATCCCCACAGTGGACTTGCTGCCAGGAGCAGGAGCTTCAGCTCTGTCCAGGAGGGAACCCTGTGGGGGTGGGGTGGGAGGGGAGGATGCGAGCCAAAAGCTGTGGGCTCTTCTATCTTTCCTCTCTGCTAAGAATTCGCTCTGGGGCTGGGCCCATTCAGAGCCCCAGAAATGCTCCCTGGACATCCAGAGGGCCCCCAGGACCACTCCTCAACTCCTAGCATGGATGCTCTTTTTTGTTCTCTGCTCCTCCCAGTGACAGACCCAGTTCTCACTGCTGGCTCCTGCCTCCCCAGGGGTGTTTGGGCAGCTGAGAAAGGAGCCAGATTGTCCTCTCTGCTGGTGCCCCAGGATGGACAGAGGCCCAGCATTCAGAGGGGCACCTCTTTCCTCCACCTCTAGGAACCAGAACCTCCTCAGGGTACCTGCAGTGGCCTTCCCCTTCCCTGGGGAGCGAGTCCTTCTCCTTGGCCCGATCAGACGACGGCTGGGGGCCTTCCTGGCGTCCCCATGGGCCTGGCCATGCCCATCGACGCCCGGGCTTCCTGCCCTTGACCTCACAGGGGGCTGCCTCTCTCCATCCCTCTCCGTGAAACGAACACCCGTCTTCACTTCTCTGCCCAGGTGCCTCCCCTCGCTGCACGGATACGCCAGCGGGCCCCCAACACCTGCCCTGCGCTCCGGGGTAAGCCTGTGGACCCCGAGGTCCCTACTGAGGAGGCCCGAGGTGCCACGGAGCCCAGCCCATCGGGGACATGCCCCTGCCCCATCAGGGGCTCTCACCTCCTCGCTGACTGCCGCGCTTCGCCGGGCGCTGAAGCCAGGTCCCCCGGCCCCGCCGCGCCGGACCGCCTCCAGGCCGCCTCCGCCGCTCGGCTCCGCCGGGCAGCTCCGCGGCACCTGCGGGCCCGCAACCTCCGTTTCCCCGCGGGCGCCGCCGCCGCCTGCTGAAATGCTGGACAGCGCACCACCATGGAGGCGGCCTCTCTGCCTGCCCGCCGGCCAGAGGGCCCAGCACCCGGAGCCCACAGCGCCCCCCGCAGGCCTGGAGGCCACACACCGGCGGCCCCGAGGCCCAGCCGCCGCCCCGACGTC